AGTACACCCCTCCCACACACTGCCTGCCCCAGTGTATGACTACAGTGATATGATTAGTAGTCCAGGTGTGATGTAACTGCTAGTTGCCCCCCCCCCCCCCCCCCCCACCTCTCTCACACACACACACACACACACACACACATTTAAAGGTGATCTCATTACATGGTTACCTGGCTGTGACACTATTAACAACATCAGTCTCTCTCTCTCTCTCTCTCTCTCTCTCTCTCTCTCTCTCTCTCTCTCTCTCTCTTACACACATACACGCATGCACGCACGCACACGCATGCACACACACACACACACACATACCTGCTCTATACCCCAGTATGCTCCTCTCAGTACCCATGGTGACCTAACCAGTGGTCAGAACTTGACCACAGGACACAGGTTTGACACACGGTCTCTACACAAGATATCTACTCAAATTTCAAATTTGTCAGCAACTTACTTATTGTATGCCTGTTTGGCATTGGTTTCATTGGTTGGTGAAGAGAAACAGAAAGACAGAAAGAAAAAAAAGATAGAGAGAGAAGGAAGGGAAAATGAGAGAGATATGGATAAAAACTTATACAGGAGTGTGACCAAAAAAAAGGGAGGAGGGAATGGAAATTGTGACAAGACAAAGTTTCAATTGATGCAATTTTTTTAAATTTGGACAAAACAGATAAATAACATCTACCAAAATGATGCTTTGTTGGTAATATGTAAATTGTTGATTTAGAAGTTCAGAAAAGCCAGTTTTTACCTCATGAGAAATTACATCAAACTGAGAGAATTTAAACAGTAATTTTTTTAAAGGTTTAGTACTGGAATGAGTATTTGACTATATTACATGGGTTGTATTGATAATAGTTTTCTGCACTGAATATTGCTGAGGAGAAACATCCATTGATCTGCGGCTGTACCTGGTAAAAACACCACTACTTCTAATCTGATAAAAATTACATATCCTTTGGCGTCTTGATATTGGAGAAGCCTGGATAATTTGATAATGTGTAGCTGACAGGGCCGTTAATCTGGTCATAAAAACTTTGATACAAACCAACCAATCTTTTCTTTTTTCCATCTCATAATTGCTTTTGGCAGACGCATATTAACCAAATGTGCTATCCGCATGTTTGTAACAATCAAGCACACTTAGTCATAAGGAAAACATTTTCTGTTAAATTGAATTCTTGGTTTAAGTGTTTTCTTCCACAATCGACCACTTATCCGCGGATGAAGTAAGGAAGGTAGAGGACTTATTGTTAATACAGGTCAGCGTCATTGCCAAACTATTGCCTGTTTTGTGGTCTCCGTCAAGTGTCTTCCTTCCTGCGGTGCTATGATTCTATAGCAACAACCAAGTTGAAATGGACTTTACCACATGAATTTGGATTTTTTGTATAGTCACTGTTAGGTTGTGACTATTTGTTTGTGTGATTATAAGAGAATTGTTGGGGTTTACTAAATTTTCATTTGTGTATGATTAAAGATGGAAGGTAGATATGGATTTTTGTGATGTCATTGTAAGTTGTGGACATTGTAAGTTTTTTCTGCGTATTTTGTGGTTACACGCAAGAGCCTGGTGTCAGCCCTGGGGTCTTGTAATTATGTTATTGGAAGTTCTAGATAGGGAGTATGAGTCAGTCTTTTGTCTTATTTTTTTTTTTTTTTTTTTTTTTTTTTTTTTTTTTTTTGTCAGTGTTTCTGTTTGGTTACCTGTCTGACTTTCTGTGATTGTGTGTGCGTGCATGCACGTGTGTGCTTGTACCTTTTTCGTACATTTCTTCATGTGTCCATGTACAGACAGTAAAAGATGAAACGTGCAAAACGTCATTATCAGTGAATTGCAAAGTAAATGAATCATATAAATAATTGCACAACACTTTCTGTGCAATTAAAAAAATTACTCAGAGACAAAGGAAAAAACAACCTTACTTTCCACAGATATCACCATATTACTGGTTCCTGTGACAGCTGTCACATTACAAGGTAGACAAGATAGATGATGATTGGCAAGCATCTGACATAAATTGGACATGGTAATAAATAGAGGCACCTTAAGGGATACTGCTTATGATGTATTAAATTTAAATGTCTGGAGGCATGTTAGTCAAGTATTATGTTGTGGTTTCTACAGAAAGTATATTAATACATATGTCATTGTATTGGGTTGACCTGTGTACTCATTTTAAGGAAATGGCAGTTGACTTGTGGAATATTTATATTTAGAGAGTGCTGTCATCCTGACCACAAACGGGTTATGATTTCTACCAAAATATTGTGTGCTGTCCTCTTTCTCAATCTTATAGCATAGTGTGTGTGTGATTGTGTGTGTTTAATTGGATTTAAATTGTAAGTTTCATTTTTTCATGGTGCATTTCGAACTGTCACCCCCCCCCCCCACCACTACCACTGGTCACAATATAAGTCCTTCATAGATAATACATTTTCTTTTATCTTGTGATTTGTCAAACTCAAAGTGACAACCTTCATTATGGATGTTTAACACTACACTGAAATTGCTTACATGCTAAGGAGTCCAGCACTTGTAACTTTCACTTTCACTTTTATTCAACCAATGATATGCATTGTTGTTTTAGGTCAGTGTTACACGTGTGGTGAGATGGTTTCTGGAACCAACGACGCCTGTCAAGCGATGGGGAACCTGTACCATACCAAATGTTTTGTTTGCTGCTCGTGTGGTAAGTGCGTACACACATGCATGCACACACAAGCACAAAGAGCCTGTACTACACCATTTGTAGCTCCTGTGGTAAGAGAAAAACACTTGCACATGTGCATACTACGGATAGCACATACTGCACATGCATGCACAGACAGATTCACTTATACCATGTGCTTCATATGCTGCTTATGTGGGAAGAAGAAAGACACGGTGAAACAAAAATGTTCACCTCAGTTTTGCATGCCTAAAAATTTTAATGTTAAAAGCATTAATCAGCCTAGCCTCTGCTGTACACGTATAATGACTATAAATCTTAAAGTCAATTTTTTCTAGAAATGAAAACTTTAAAAGGTATAAACAATTTTTAAATAATAGACAAAAGGTCTTTAAAAAGCATTGAGGCTGAACCGAATGGCCTGAAAGAAAGAGTACAAAGCCAGTATTTCCTGTATCTTCATCTTGGCTTGCCGTCAAGAGTATTTGGAGCTGTGTAATATAGATGTTTGTGTGGCAGGTAGGCCGTTTTTTATCATGATTCTGTTGTACCTGGCTCCATATAATATATTGGCTGCGGTTGTTGTGTCTACGCACGCAAAGGGCACGGCCACAGCTACCTTCAGCAGGCAACGTTTTCTCGGCCAAGTTTTAAAACCTGGATACTGTACAGGGGCCCCACCCCAAGTAGCATTCCCTGTGTTGTGTGATATTTTCCAGGAGCTCTCAGATGTTTTATCTGAAACATGAGGTACTTCTTTTTAATCAATAGGTCAAATGTTATCTGGTTTTGTGAAGATGTCTGATGTTATTCAGAGACCTGTACGTAAATAATCTTAGATAGAACGTTCAGACAAATAGCTCAATAATTTTTTGCAATATCAGAATTTTGAACCAGACCAGTGTTTTAGAAAAAGAGGATGATTTGCAATTTATTTTCCACCCCTCCCCTCTCCCAGCCCCTTCAGTATACCTACCCATATTCCACAGTCTTGTCTATGTTGATTTCTCTACTAGTAATAATACAAACAAGACACAATACAGAAAAATTATTTTACCAAAAAACTTTTGCCTTGAACTTTGATAATTGTGTCAATAGTCAGAGAGCTATTTATTATGGGTAATCAAAATTCAAATACCTCATAAGGATGAAAAAGTGGCGTGAAATATTTGAAGCTATTACTTTATTTATAGTCACCAACTATCCCTTTCTCATTTTCCTTGCACCGTTTCCATGGTATTGCCATGAAAGCTACACTGCCAGTAGGACGGAAATCAATGATAGTTTCTCTCAAGGGGATTTTGCCTTCTGATGGCTATTTTGACCAGTTTTGAAGAAGGGGAGTTTTAAGAGAGAAAATGATGCTTTTGTATGAATGAGTGTCCCATGGGATTAAGGAAGATACGGATTAAAATCCACATTATTTATGCAGTTGACTCTGAGACTGAGATGGAAATAAAGTTGTTTAATACAAAAATAATAGTTTATGGCCGTATTAATGTTTTGTGCGGGCAGACTTCCAACCATAGGCACTTGTAAGCATGGAGAGAGAAAGAGAGAGCTTTTCTGTGTGGTAAATGACCTCTGAGAAACTGAATATTAGATTTTTCATTTCAGTCTATGCATTACCTCCTAAAAAAATTTAAACTTCCTTTGCAGTGTTGAAAGTCTGAGCTGGGCCAAACACAGACATTAAAAGTGTTAAAAGAACCGTTATAATCTCAGTTAAAGGTGTTCAAAACCACTTCTAGTTACTCCAGAAGACTAGTTCTTTGTACTCTCACATTAACGTGAAGTAAACCGGGGCCCTATCCAGTGAACCAGAGCAACTCTTTTGTAGTGTATGGGTCATAATATTTCCTGCCTTTACAAAGATCTAGTTTGTTCATTGGTCGTGATTGAACATGGCAGATTGGATAGGCTTTTACCCCAAGAAGGCAAATGGATAAGAAACATCATTTAATGACATTTACATTGATGAATGAAGTATTTGTTTGCTGTTGGGCGTTGTTGACTTTAACCTTAGAAGGTATCTAGTTCAGAAATACTATTTTTTTTAGGTCTCTGAAATTTGTGAATGGAGTTTTTCTTCTAGTGGTGGCCTTGAAAAGGGCATGGTGAACTCAGATATTGGAGAGTTAAATATACTCTAGCAAAAAATATAGTCTTCAGGGGGTATTTTGAGTGTTATAGTTAACTTCGTATAGTGTATACAGTATAGACCAGACAGTTCAAAAGTTTCCTTTCCTCAAAAAATTTAAAAAAAAACTAAAAGTGAAAGGTAGTTCTTTTCTCAAGAGACCAGTCTTCTAGTTTCTTTTCACATCTTTTCTCTCAAATTAAGTTATTTAAGCCTGTTTAAATAAAAAAGAAAGAAAGAAATGTCTAATTTTAAAACCAATAGTTGACCTATTTTATTGGACTAGTAAAGAATTATCAATCAGACTTTAGTAGATACAGTAATATATATATCTCCAAGGCAGCTTGGATATTTTGTGCTGGGTATGACTTCCATGTGGTGGTGATAATTTAGAACAGGTTTTTATTCCATTCGTTCCACAGAAATGGTCAGAGGTCTGTAGGGAAACCTTAACATTTACAGTTAGAAACTTAAAACGCCAAGGCAAGCTGGACGAGAAAGTGTTTTCTACTTAAAAATCCACAGCTATTTGTTACTGTCAGCATAGCAGCAGACGGTAAAGGTCAGGATCTGCTGCTAGGGGTCACTTATTGCAAGACAGGCCGCTCAAATGCCAGCTGAAATGTTCCCAAGATCTTTATGTCATATAAACCACTTATTTTCGCTCTGTTATAATCTCTTTGTTAAGAACAACAGTTCCCTTACATATCATAATCGAATTTTGTATTTGATAGTATTGAATTGTTTGTTTCTGAAGATGCCCTTGGCTAACCCTTTGCTAAACCTTCCCTTGTACAAGTCATTAATCTCACTGTTGACAGAAACATCAAAATAGAAATGCTGAAGGTGTTTGAGATATTGATGATAATTTTATCCTGTAAACTATGTCAGATATTCCTAACCTCTGCATTATGTGAAATTCTGGATGTTATCAATGTTCTCTGTGTAAACAAACTGGTACTAGAAAATAGATAAATAAATTATACAAAATTGACCCCAAGCAGATAGACGTCTTTGAACAGAAAGACCCTCGTGCCCTTAATGGCAGTAAAATAAGTAAATAAATGTACACATGAATAAATAAATGTACATGTAGGTGATCCAGAGACTTGTTGATTTCCCAGTGTTTGTTTCTAAAAATATTCACTTGCCCTGAAACCTTATTATTTCACTGATACATGCATCTGTCCATGAACAAAAGAGTGATTATGTTAAGATAATGTTTGTTTTTGAATTTTATTTTTATTTGAATTTATTATTAGTATTAGTATTTTAGAAGAATGCTGCAGTCAAATTGCAGTTAAGAATCAAAAGCATCCATTAATGATGTTTGATAAATGTTTAAAAAATAAAAAAAATTATAGATATTATTACACTTAACATGAATTTGCCTTTCATTTGCTATATATATAATCTGTATATAAAAGTCTTTATGTTTTCCAGGGCGGACGTTACGCGGGAAGGCATTCTACAATGTGCATGGAAAAGTGTATTGTGAGGAAGACTATCTGGTGAGTTGACGCCATGGAAAAAAGTGAATACTTCGACACTGCTGAAAAATAGCCCCAAGTAAAAACATGGGGGAAATAAGTCCTTCCAGAATCATTTCTGTACAGAATAAAAAAATTGCCTCATTTTGTACTGTGTTATGTCTGTGAGCGAAATGCGGCAGCTGAAAGACCTCTGTAGCCACTGCCTGCAGGTATGGAGCAATTAATAGGCTAATTACACTGTCTGTACTTGTACACCTGGGCTGTGTCCTGACCTCAGGTCAAAGGTCAGGGGTCAAAGGTCAGAGGTCATTTGGTAATAAGGCAATTGTCTAACCATATTGTACTAAACCTGTCTGAGCCAATGCCAAAACGGTTGTATTTTTCTGGATGAAGAAGTGATTGTTTGAGAGCGGTGCCATCAGGTTTATGGCATTTGATTGATTTAGTTTGCTGCTCAAGTTAAACAGCAAAATATGAATTCTTGCAAAAAGCCAGAAAATAGTCAAAACTTTTAGGGTCAAACAAAATCTGACCTTGAAATCCATTTTGGCTGAAGTTGAATTGAAAAAAATATTAAATAAAGTGTTTAGCACCTAGGTCATTGACCTAACAAAACCAAAAAGAGATTTGGAAAAGTTTACGAAAAGAAATATATATTTGGTAATATAGAATATGAAAGTTTGCTCTCTAAAAGACATATGCATGAGCTTGCATATAAAAATGAGTCGGATCTGAAAGCCAAATCTTGTGGACAAGTACAGAAAGGTTGCCTGTTATTTTATTACCAGTATAAATATAGACCAAGTCCCAGCTGTTGCTGAGTGACCTCTTTGAAGTTCAAGAATTTTAATCAGGTGCCAAGAAGTTATGGCCTGTTTATGATGCATAAGCTGTTGACAGGGAGATAAAACAAGCCTCACCTGCCTTGCAGGGGGGGGGGGGGATTGCACAAAAGAAGTAAGAACGGAAATTTGGTCTTGACTTGAAAGTCTTCATTTTTTAACCCAAGAATAACCAGTATTTATTATTATTATAACAGTATATGGGGTGTAAGTATAAGACAAAATTTCAATTTATTACAGCAAACTACTATGGTGGTATCCGTATTGGTAGTTGACCAGCATTTTGGTCTGAAATATCAGAGTCAAGTTTCCTCTAAGGTTCTTTAAATATGGCTTTACATGGGAATTAGAGATCAAAAATTCATTTTAAATTTTGATTTCAGGCATTTTTAAATCAGAACAATTTTGTACATAGTCCAAATGTATTTCAATTTAAGTGAAAATAATTTTTGGTCTAAAACATGAGATACTTTTGTTCTTTTCGTTAAACATGCAAAATATTTCCTTTGCGGTTTGAACAAATTACAAAATTTTCCTGGCTGGACTGCATTGTTACAGCAGTGACTTGAATCTGTTCAGTGGGGGAAAATTATCAATCTCTCAGATACATAGATTTGAAATCATTAAATTATATATATATATATATATATATATATATATATATATATATATATATATATATATATATATATATATATATATATATATATTTATAGCATTTGTGGTGCTTTGAGTCTAGAATGGAACCACAAGGTAGCCTGCTTTCCAATTTTGTCGCAACCACCTGATGGGAATGTTTTAGAATTTATGACTGAAAAAAAATCTCGAAAGTTCACAATTTTCCCTGTTGAAGTGATGGGAGTCATAACTGTACTTTCAGACTGTAAGAGAACACTTAGTGATTTATCTGTGGTTAAAGTAGCTTGCAAGTGTTGCCTTAGTTGAGATGAACTGTCGTTCTTGAATTCTTTGTGTAAATCATGGTCCTTTTTTTTTCTCTTTATATATGTCTGTCCTACAGCTGGGTTAAGGAAGTGTTAATGTATAGCTGTTGGTGGGCAGACAAGAAACTTCAATAATTGCACAATTGTTAAAATGTTGGCACAAATCAATCAACATAATCACAGGAAATAATGCTGAGAAGGAAGTGTATTATGTATTTACCCTCCAAGAAAATGTATTATATACTCAAAGCATGAGTCACACAGTGAATATGTACGTGCATAATTACATATGATTATGAAAGAACGAGGAAGTAGTTTGTTTTACTGCAAATTAAATTTTATCCCTTGTAGCGCTCTAAACTGCTGTTTATCCACCAAATATGGCCTGCAATTTATCTTCCATTATATTTCAGTTAAAATCTTCATGTTTTACAGTGTGTGTTGTGGTGTATCATCTGAGAAATGGCTGTTGTGATGTCACACCTAACAAAATGATTGTAGTGTCACAATAAACACCTAATTGTTGTGATGCCACAACTACAACAATGTCTGTTGGGTTGTCACAATACTTGATTGTTGTGCTGTCACAAATAATGGGGAGTCTGTTGTGATGTCAAAATTAACATCTGATCCTTGTGATGTCACAAATAACACAATCATTGTTGTGATGTCACAATAAAGACTTTACAGTAGTGACATCACAACTAACACAATCTCTGTTGTGATGTCACAATAAAGACTTGATTGTAGTGATGTCACAACTAACACAATCTCTGTTGTGTATTGCAGTACTCAGGCTTCCAGCAGACGGCAGAGAAATGTGCCATATGTGGCCACCTCATCATGGAGATGGTAAGAGAACCGAGGCAGAGACTCTTGTCAAATGTATTCTTAGTCATTTGCTAGTTTCAGTTGATTTTAGCAGTAATACAGAAATTTTTCACATCTTAAACAGAGGAAAACTTTAGTTTATTACCTCGGATAATGACCAAGACTTACACCCCATTTCCATAGATTAGATCGACCTACTTTAGATCGATCTAACTCCCTGGGGGTTCACGCTAAATAGCTGTCAGCCGGGCAGACACGAAAGTTAATTACCCTCTTATAGCTTGTAGTAGGCGGGACGGACATTTAAGTCGGATTATCTGAAAGTAATCTAGTGAGACTCCCCGCGGGAATAGATCGATCTAATATCTATGGGAATAGAGCCTTATTTAAGGCTGTGATTCTGTTTGAAATTTTAAGCAATACATTGGTGTTGATCTACCTAAGACTGAGCAGTTATAAATAATAGTTTACTTAAGCCACAGACATATTAAATGATTGTCACAGACACAGATGTGGCGCCCTCTTTGATTTGCTGCTTATTACCTGAGCATTCATATGTATTTCATTCACTAATTTAGATTCTTCAAGCGTTGGGGAAGTCGTACCATCCGGGCTGTTTCAGGTGCTGTGTATGTAATGACTGCTTGGACGGAGTGCCGTTTACTATAGACGTAGATAACAAAATCTACTGCGTTATAGACTATCACAAGTAAGTGAGAGTTTACTGAAAGCTTGGTTACTTTGATTTCTGAGAATTGCTCAAGTTGAACATTGTTGGCATTGCCTAAGACTGCTAAGACTTTTTAGACACCCAAACTGTTTGCCTGTATCACCAAAGGACTACTGTCAAAATTGGTCAGTGTATAAATTTTTGTGGTAAAAGAAAAACTTTAGTTGTCTAATCCAAAAACCTGCCTTTTTGTGGATCAGAATCCTGTCAGTCCTGGTCAAATTACTGACATTTTCAGTCAAGAAATAAAACTGTCTTGTAATGAATTATGGCAATTCAGATGAACTATGTTCGGAATAACATCTGTGCTATTAGACAATTTTTTTACATGAGGGTTTCTCTATTTGATATCAGTTTTCAGCTTTTCATATCTACTTATAAAAAGTATATATGCAGTGTACTTATATGGAACAGTTTTAAGGACAGTTTTTATTTATTGATGAGAAATTTGTTGATACAGCCATCAGCAAATACTGAGTGGTGTAAATAAAAAATTAATTTTGATATATATAATTGAATCTTTGATTTGATTCCGGCTTTATTTGCTTTATTTGCTTTGATAACAGTGCAGTTCATATGAAATATGGGACATTATTTGTTTCATGATACTATCAACCATCAAAACTGATTCTACAATTATCAGAACTATTATTATTCAGAACCAGGCATTTGTTACATTGTCATTAGCTGATAGAATTCTTTTTGCGTTCATGCTAAATATAAAGACCATGTTTCAGTGAACTGTGCTGGGTCTTGGGAGAGGGATTTGCAGCTTTCAAGCTTCTACGCCCAGAAAAAATAAGAATATCAATAGCAATTTATTCCTGGTTACTTGTATTTCTTTTTATGCCAAATTGTAAAAAAAATGGAATTTATTATATTTTATTAATTTTAGTTGTATCAAATTTGATGCAGTACATTGCATTCATTCTCAAGAAAGATTTGAAAATATAAAAAAATGTATGATTCTCAACTGCTTGTTAACATCCAAATTGATAAGCGAGGAGATAGCAAGTTGTAGCTAAGAGAAGCTTCAGTGGGATCAAAACAACAATGATCCCACAGGCATATAAAGTGATACAATCCTAACTGTTGGGGTCATTTACCACCCCAAAGTCTTTTTACCAAATATTGTCATTTTATGGTAAGACAACAAAAACTGGCTAATATTTTAATAACTGTATGGCAGAGAGGTTTTAAAGTACTTTGTACCACTCTGGGTGTATTAAAGAACACCTGTGTGAAGTATTTAGTATATAAAGTTCACTGGAAAACCCCCCTTGTTTCAGGATGTATGCACCTAAGTGTGCCGCTTGCGGGCAAGTTATCACTCCAGTAGAGGTAAATATTACATTGAAGTGTGTTTGTATGTGCATATGAATGTAATGTTACTTGCAGGCAACCTATCAACCTAGTCTAGAAATTGAAATTATCATTTCCTTTGGACAAACTGTGTGTGTGCGTGCGTGTGTGTATGCACACAAATGTGTGAAATGTCAGCCTGTTTGTTTGTGCGAGAATTGGTGCTTTTCACCAATGTGATTTGTGTGTCAGTGTTCTCTATATTGTTTTGAAAAACATACCAAGTACCTACAATTCTTCTATATTTGAAGGCCTCATGTCCTGATATTGGATGCGAGTTGTTGATTTGGATTGATTTAGTTGATTTGTTTCAGTATTGCTTAGCATGCTGCATGTTTGGCTAGATTAGCTGCAAACAATAAAAATTTTAATGATGAGATGGATGTATATTTTAATAAAAACCTTAATATTAATCATCCCAGCAAGGGGACCTGGGTGGAATTGTCAAGGAATTGTTATACAGGTTTCCTCCACTGGCCTTGTGTGTTTTCATTTCTTTGTAGCTGAAGTATATTCGCGTATTCTTATTTTTCTGACTTTTTTTCCAGGGAACAGAAGAAACTGTGCGGGTAGTTTCCATGGACAGGGATTACCATGTGGACTGCTACTGTTGCGAGGTATGCACGCACACATGCACGCACACACACACACCAACAGTGCTTTCACCATTTTACTAGCTCATGGTGAAAGTTTATTTTGTAGCTTGAGGATTTATTTGTTGATGATTGAGAATCATGATTTGTAGTAGGTGATTCAGAAAAGTAAGGAGTCTGTTATCACTGCTGTCTTGTATTTTGTTAAAGATATTCTTAGAAATCAGTTGTAAAATGAAAGTCTTTGTGTCAGCAACGTATGAGTCACTTACATTAAGTTGAAACATAAGGGTAAGTGAGTAATACATGGATGTCTTACATTCTCAGATGTGTCATAATATTTAGAGGTGACACCATTCACTCAGATTGATCAAATTTAGAACAGCTGAACATCTGAATATTTATATTAGGATTACTTTTTGAGAGCCATCAGATACTGTTTGATGCCAGTCCCCAAGTACAGACAGTTTTATAATGTATAAATGTAATCTTCTGTATTTGTAAACATAAGAGTCAATAAAAGGAGTGTTCTTGTAGTTCTACAATTTGATATTTTCTGTTTTCTAGGACTGTGGTCTGCAGCTGACAGATGAACCAGACAAGCGTTGTTATCCCCTGGGGGAGATGTTACTCTGCTACGGTTGCCACCTGGCACGACTAAACTATCACCCCAACGGACTCCCGCCAGCAACCGAGTCCCAGCTCCTCACCTTCAATTTCAATCCCATGGTGCAGCAGCCGATGCAGGGAGCTCAACCGACACATTTTGCTCAACCACAGTCTGAGGCACCACAAACACAATTGAGTTCAGCCATGATGAGTCAGCAAAAACAGCCACTGGGTCTTCAAGGCGGAGTGTCCAGTCAGAATGTTAGACAGACTTTGGCCGGTGGAGGAGGGGTAGGAGTGGTCACTAGGACTGGCCACCCCAATGGTCATCCAGACTCCGGACCTCAAAGTCCAGCCAGTATGACCAGTTTGTCCAGTGGTTTTAGTGGTCAATATGTCCACAATATGTACACCAGTGGTCAGAAACCTGAACCCCAGGCGCCATTACGGCCACCACCAAATTATTATGACCGTCACAGCAGCACTGGTCATTTCTCTAGTGATGATAATCACAGTCCTCCCATACCGCCAAAACAATATATCCAAAACCATTTCGACACACAGAGGGCTTCCCCACAGGGAACGGGAAAATCTGGCAAAGCCCAGATGTACCAGATAACTGATCTGTGAGCGAGTTGTGCCTGTTCCCTGTGAGTACTTTCACTGTGGTCCTGTCCAGCCAGGTTTCTTGTGTGAAGAGCGACAGTGTCAACACAGGCATATGGAAACACAACCAAAGCAGAGATACATCAAACAACAGAACCGTGAAGCAGTTCTGTCTTATTCCCTGTGACTGTGAGCTTCAAATTTGGACCACAGGGATTAGAGACATTTCTTCCAACTAAAAAGAGATTCATGGCAGTTTCTTCCAGTTCCCTGTGAACTCCTGTGCTGACCACCAGATGTCACTGCAGTGTGTCCGAGCTCTCGCCAGCATGTAAACGTTTTGCCAAAACGAGCAGATGATGAACTGTTTGCCGAAAGTTAAATACAGACAAGCATATTTGACATTTTACATATATATGAAGTGGTCTGTAGTCTACATGTTACAGCATCAATGTTTAATGCCTCTGATTCATACTGTGGTACTAGCATTTCATGGGACAGCAGTCAGAATGGCAGTATTAAAAGGAATTGCTATTTGTTCTCAGATTTCATCAGTTCTAGACACATTCAGTTTTCTGAACATAAAGATGTGTCATGTTCATATAAATACTTTTTATTTTCAGCTTTTTCTAAATTTTGTCTCTTAAGTTCCTCAAGTACCTCAAATTTTTGTCTAGACATAAAAAGTTGGAAGTGTACTTTGTACACATCTTATCTTGTTAGAGTGTTTGAAACAAGTATAATACTACCACTTCTCTAGTTGTACTATAAATGTGCATCAATGTGTTATTTTAATGTCTGTTACTGGTTTTGGAAACAATGGACTGTTTGTTGCAGTCTAGGTTCAATGTATCACAGATTGTGGTTAACTTGGATACAATGTATCACTGTTAGTGCAACCTGGATACAATGTATCACTGTTAGTGCAACCTGGATACAATGTATCACTGTTAGTGCAACCTGGATACAATGTATCACTACTTGTTGTGAACTGCAAACAATGTATCACTGTTTGTTGTAACTTGGAAGCAATATATCACTGTATTGGTTGTTACAAGTCACAATTGTATCGGCGTTACTGATGTAAGCTTAGTATTTTGCACGGGAAAAAAATTTATGTGATGACATTTTAGTGCAACAATACAGGTGTATGATAATTGGTTTATCTCATGACATATAAATAATAGGTTGTCTTACATTTACCAGTAGATGTATGAAGCTTTTTCAAATGTTGTCTTAAAAGGAGATACACAGGGAAAGTATGCATCAGTTATGTATGTGTTTGGCACAGTTTTAGAGCACTTACATGTTACATATATTGTCAGCTGATGCACTGGAGTATTACATAAGTCTTTCACATGGTGGTCTATATGTTCTCACTTGATGGTAAAATGTGTATTGCCACTCTGTTGTGCAACTGAAAAAAACCACTGTGGTTTGGTGTAAACTTGGATTTCCTGGAACAGGATCGGTTTACAGCAGTGGTTATAATCTGGTAGGTTTTCAGGTTAAGTGGTTTCACATTATTTTGAAATTCACATAATTTTGAAATTTATCATGTTGACACAATTTATTTATAGCACAGTTAGTTGTATGGCTGCAGGAAGCACTTTGAACAAGTAAACTTAGCACCCTGTGTTTGAGAACACTGGCATTGACTCCTGCCCTGGTATATAGCTGCCTGGTACAAATAATTACCCACATTATGGTTCTGAAAGTCAGGGTGACTGTGATCACTTGGTTGTTGTAATTACTTCACTGTGGTTACTTGATGCATTTTACATCACCATAGTAACTTCACTATGGTAACTTGGTATATGTAACATTGCCATAGTTACTTCAGTATGGTAACTTGATGCAGTAAACATCACCATAGTTACTTCACAGATTTTATGAACGCCCTGAATTTCAGAGATCTGCTTGAACATTCTTGAAGAGAGAAGTGTCATTCTTAAAACTATGAAGTTCAGGTTGACTTGATCACATTTTCGCCACACTTGCAGTCTCCTTGTAATTTCATATACCAGCTTTGTTACTTCTCACTCTGTGTTGCTGTCACTGCCCCTGTTGGTTGTCAGTTACAATGTAACGGGTGTATTGATATTTTATATAATATCAGTTAATTATATTAATATTGTCATTAATGCCAGTATTGTGAAAGCAGAGCATTTCTGTGGCACATGGTAACGACATGTCCCCACGCAGGCATCAATGTAGCTATCTCTCTTTAAGAAACTACCTTTTTATTTTCTATGAAAAAATGTCAAGGTATTTGATTATCATCTGAGACAATTTCACAAAATCTCTAAACAGTGTCCGGTATTTAAAAACTTAGACCATAAGGGGCAATTTCTAATCCTCTGTTTTAACTGTGTTTTAGGCTGGTTTTAAATTGTGCTAATTATGAGAAGCTTAAGTGCAGGTGAAGAAGGTTCGGGTTAAACGTGTGTGAACCTTGCGCTGGATAACTGTGTAATAGGTCTGAATATTATATTTTTAAAGGTACTCGATTATATTTATAGTTATGGCTTTCTCCTATCCTACCACTTGATCTTTTACTATTATTTTATTATAATTAATTTAAGTAATGAATGTGGAATTAATATCAACTAAATTGTGAGTTGTTAAACTATATCAATCTCAATATCGTAATCAAACTGTTATATGGCATGTAATCCTGTCCACGGCAGTTCAGTACAGATTTTATTTTCCATTCTTAAAAGTCGCTTGTAGATCACAAAGGTTGGAGTTATTTATAAAGGAATCTGCATTGATGGGGAGGGTGGGATGATTTGCATCACGGGCACATCGCAAGAATTTTATGTCTTAAGTCGCAGCACCATGACACGTTTTGTACATAGATTTCTTGGTGCTTATGACGGTATCGATGTATAGCGGATACCCAGTTGTATATGGGTAAATTATTTTCATTATATTGTGGGTCTTACACGTGTATAAACGATAAAATGTTTTTTCAACTTGAGTTGTTCTAATGTCTAGAGTTCCTGGAAAGCACGCGTAGAAGTGCCGTCCTTGTCCTGACTTGCACCCCGTCTTGTGCTTCGATTCGTTAACTGTTGTTTACTAAAGATTTCGTGCTATCAAATGCAGTCTTGCATGTGCTAGATTAATGCATAGCAGTTTGAATGAATGACGATGAATTCTGTGACGGGCCTAGTAGAAGAACGCACGACTGGCAGAAGTTTTTCGAAAGAACCGTAATTTTCCACTGTAAATCAAAAATTGATCTAGGATCTCTGCCCTTTCTCTTGTTTGTTCTACCTAGAGGTTTGAAGGCAAAATTCAGAAATGGACCCCACCCTAAAGAGTCTCTCTCTCTGCTGATATTGCTGCCTTCAGTATTAACTGATCTTATTAAGTGGACTGGGGAGGGATGTGGAACAGGGTTAGCGTTCCCTGCCCCCCCCCCCCCTCAACCTCGATCAGCGTTGGTCTTGATACGGTAAATAACAGCAGATCACGTGGTGAACACTTTCTTCAAGGAAAGTAGCGGAGTGTAATGCGCTGATCATTGCGCCCTGCTTTGCTTGCTTAAGGAGAGAATTACTTTGAAATCGGTTTAAGCTAGCTTGTGTACAAATAATCGCCTCTAGTTCAATTTCACATCCTTACTTACGCAGATGGACTGGGAAGATAAAATTAGACCTTGTTTATCATATAATTTCACCTGAGCCTTCAGGTCATCGTGAAATCGCGACAGCAATGCCTTGGGCATTGTCATGGGATTCCCGTTCGACAACAACAACTTACTAATTTGCTTTATTGTTTTTCGAACCGTTTACATGACATTTTCACCGGGCCTAATTGTTTGTATTATTTCATTAGTAAACCGCCAAACCTAATTAATTGCAGATTTGAGAAGGATGGGGCACACCTACCCCACCTCACTAATATAATTAGCTCTGGGGATGCCCCCTGTCTTTCCCTTCTCCCTCTCCAAACGCGCCACAAACGTTCTTACCAACCAAAAGAGACAACACCAAACAACAGCTTCGTTCCATGTGCTCTTCATACTACAGTAAAATTGTCCTTGTCTACTATTTTATATTTACTGAGTGAAGTGTCAGAGGCAAAAGTTTCATGCCTTCACCCCCACCTCCCCATAGCGAGAAGACGCTGCTATTTTTTTCAAAAATCGTCTTCATTTTTTCCTTAAGGAGCCTAGCTAATACATGTGGCATAACCTCACCATCCACTTTTCTAATTAACAGATAAATACAATGTAGGATCAAGGATTTTTCGTGCCATCACGGTAAACGTATAGAATACAAGCCTTTTCAAATGATATGAATTTGTCAGAGTGGAGAAAATACATCCCGCCCGATAGTCTGTGGATATTGGAGAATTGATCCCGGGTCTGTTTACCTTAGACCCCCCACCCTCTGTTAGACTCGGTTGGTCGAGATGTCCGGCGTCTCTAGCTGAGGCTACCGGGTCAATAACAAAATCCCGGTAATCTGAACAATAACACGGGCTGTTTTCTGCGTACAGGTGGCGCTGACGCGCGCGTGGATCAATACCTCGCGCATAGGTACCAGTAATAACATGGATACACGCTCACTCGTGCGCTTTCTCTGCGTCTCTCGCCCCTTAAGATGCTTTGTTCCACCTGGAACAAAGAAAAGCTTGGGCTTTCACAGAAGCTCGCTTTTGCATATAATAGTGAGGGCAGGCATGCTTGGACAAAACCGTATAAGGAAGCTACTGTCTCTCTCTTTTTGTTAAAGCTATATAAAATGTTGTCAATGCAGTCTAATCGATACAAGGAACGATGTAGGTCAATTTTCTGCCTTTATGAATGAGGCGCCTGATAGATTTGTCAATGGAAATGAATATTCAAATGAGCTTAACCATTCAGAATTTCCAAGAATATATGAGACTCTCTAGATCCCATTAGGATCCATCGCTAGATCGGTAATGATGTGAAGAATTGAAAACCAGAGTCTTGCAGTTTTGTAGTTTTGCTGTATTTGCCACCGGCATTTGCGGCACCCGCCCTAGTGTTAGCTTAATTCCTGTAATATATGTTAAGGAAGAATACGGAGATTGACGTCACACGGCTCCCGGAAGAATCTTCGAGAGACACTAAAGGGGGCGAGTGTCAACTCCGAGAAATAATTTCCAGGAAAATGCACCTTGGACAGGCGGGGGCTATAGAAGACGGTGACGCTCTACACGATATCAATTGCCCAGCGGCTAATTGCATCGCGTTTTAATTAACGCGGGATGAAATTACCTGGATTGATTAGAATTGCTGCTGAACTGGTTGCCTAGCAACAGCCTCCCCTTCGTTTCCATTTCCCAAGCTCGACCATCAGTCTTCGCGTGCCTGAACCGTCTGCGCACGTATTGATTGATTCAGGTTGGAATATTATAATCTCTCCCGTTATTTCACGATTTGCTAGCCGAGCCTTCTGAGTTTGATGCATAGAACATAGCTGACAAAGGCATAGAGACAGGGAGAAACCCGCTTTAACGAAAGGGTTTTTATTTACAGTGGAAACGTCGAGGCCGGCTCAAACGCAGCGTTGGAGGATTATTACCAAGGATCTGATTCCAGGGAGTCGCCGAGGATTTGAAAGATTTTCTCCAGGCGAGGCGAGGCTGTGATACCGAAAACAAGATGGGGTGTACGCTTAGCGCCGAGGAGCGAGAAGCCATGGAAAGGAGCAAGGCGATTGATAAGAATATAAAAGAAGACGGAGTCCAGGCTGCTAAGGATATAAAACTGTTACTGCTAGGTGAGGTGGTCCGCTCTCTGCAGACGTTCTAGTCCCAGTCTGAATATTGAAATCTGCGCATCTCATTATACCCCGCGCTAATGGTGGATGATTGCCTTACTGCGGCCGCCATATTGCCTGGTCGATTCGATGAAAATTCCTAGGAAAATAATCATTGTTCTGATAGTAGAGCGCGCTCCGTGGGGCACTGCCATCACGGGGCGTTGTAGTAACCGGAGTTTTATTTTAGGCTAAGGTGTATTATCTCTTAGGCATGTTTTTCGTTGGTTTTTGCAAGCTGATTTTACAGATGTTGGGAGTAGATTGCAGAAACTGGTCGCCTCCCTAGCTGCATAGTCGATGACTGTGACCTATTTCCGCGATATTAATCAATATTCATGTCATTTTTTTCTTCTTTTTCGCCAAACCAGGTGCAGGTGAATCCGGAAAAAGTACCATTGTTAAACAAATGAAGTAGGTATCCAATATAGCATTCATTATTTACTTATATTTCACTTCTTTCAATTCGCTACTGCTCCACTCTGCACTGAACACTCATGAAAAAACCTGGGCAATATCTTCATAATGTGTGAAATATGTGGCTTGCTGTGAAGCCGAGATACCGATTTGCAGAACACTTTTGCACGTTTTCTTTGTTTTTAAACCCGCGCTTTCCTCCCCAACTACAGTGATAATTCAAATAGATAAGGAATTAAGGAATAAGGGGGGTATAAAAAGAATACAGAGGGCTGGCACTCATTTCTGGTCCCTCAACTGAAAAATAAAGCAAGGCCAATATTTAATAGCAGCTCGGCATAATAAATCCATATGAATCTCCCAGAAATCTTGTTTGCACATACTTCGACAAGGGCGGCCTTATATTGATTCCACGTTTCTAGCATGTTGCAAATGATCAGTCGTTGGAGATTTAACAACCGATGGAGGGAACTGCACACGCCGAGCAGCCGGCATTTTCGTTCCCCCCACTCCACTTATTCCTCTCGTCTCTGCCTGCCCTATATAGCCGCAAAGCACTAAAATGTTTATATTTTGAGTAAGCGCAAGCGTTCTTAACGCTGTTGGTTAGGCTCAGGGCATATAAGCTCGGTTAATTTATGATTCCACATGCAACCGCTGACTGCGTTTATATATTTCAATCCAGACAAAGAGCTAAAATAGGGGCCTGTTTTATACGGATTTTATGGAGGCGTTCTATTTTTTATTACCGTTGAATTATTAACTGTGCTTTTTTGTTTAGCTGAAAGGGTTTTAGAGTTATCTTGTGACTAAATAATGACGGTATTCTTGAATGCAGCTGTGATAATGTGACGCATCTGTGTTGTCAAATGATTTGATGGCGATTAGGCCTGTGAATGAAGGGTGATCATGTTTCTGTCAATTTCACAGTGTCATTGATGTACTTCAAAGACTATTTAGTTTGGATATTACACCTGATCTCTCTCTCTCTCTCTCTCTCTCTCTTCATTTCTTCCCCCTTCCTCTCTCCCTCTCTCCCTCTCTCTTCTCCTTTTTTTTTTCTCTCTCTCTAGTTCTTTCTTCCATCTCTCGCTCGTCCTTTCTTCTCCCTTCTGTCCATCTCTCTCTCTCCCTCTCTCTCTCACATCACTTCGACAACAAAAACCACAGTCTTCACACGCAGGAGCTGTCCACGCGTGCAGTAATTACACATTATCATCTCTGGGTGTTAATCAGTATTTGCAAGGCAACTGTAGCTTTTCCTTTGTTTTCCCCTCCTGGCCAAGTCTTGGTTTTATACTACCTGGTTGTTGTAGTGAAATATTCAGTTTGTTGATATGTACAGGTACCTCTAGGGGCGTAATCTTCCACATATATATCAATATATACATAGTGATAACAAAATGAAAACCAACAACTTAGGCTCTAGAGAGAACAATAAAGCAAGCTTCCCTCTCTCTCTCCATTCAAAGAATAAGCGTTGGATTTTGCACTTACGATCATTAACAAATTTGTCGCAGATTTTATTTGAGGCTATCATGTTTTGTGTTAGAACACGTCAGATACATGGACAGTTTGTGAGGAAGAAGGAGCTAGGTTGGAGCTTTAAGATTGATGGACACGAGAACATAAGGGCAGGGACATTTTATAAGGATATTTTTGTGTCAAGGGCACCCGTTATCATCTCAGTTGAAATATTATTTTTAATCTATTTCAGGAAGTACATGTCTGTAAGTTGAAGATCGCTTTGTCTTTGATGATTTTGATTTCCCCTCACTTTATCAAAAAACAATGTAAATATCAATATATGTATATACTTATATGGACTTATTATAATTCCACAAACTTATGTTTATTTAGAATTAGAACTATGGAATGTCTTGGGTTTATGTATATTGCACTTTATTTTCACAGAAAATGCAGAAAATACCGGTAGGTCTTGACAACAGCTGGATATACCATGTATTTCTGTTTCAGTTTAACTGTCAAAAAAAAAAGACAATTTTAATATGAAAGTTACTGCACATTATTATCTTGTAGTTCTGACTTTTGCATCAAGCTGAAGAAAGGATTCGAAATCCAGGATGCCCATGTTCTTTGTCATATTTGAATCGTAATATCGTCTCACAGTTTAAGTTAACTTGTACAGCAGGGATGTAAACACAGGATGTCACAGCACGGGCCTTGGTATTAGAACAGTGTTCACTGCATAGTATTGTCTTATTATAATAATAACGACAGCAGTGCTGCACTCTTACTTAGCTTATTTATATTTAGTAGATAAATGTCATATAGGGTTCTTTCATTATTTGGGGTCATTACCAGCAACCTGAGTAAATCAAGTATAATAACACTGATTACTATTCAAGAACGGCTGAGATGAAAATAACTTTCAGGATTTGGATATTGAGGTTGATATTTTGCATTATCACAAGCTCTGTAGGAGAGGGTTACCTTAGCAACGGATAATAACATTGTTCCATACAGCACTGCAGCAAAAGCAGCAACAGTAACAACGTCAGTTTAGCTTAACACCCCCTCCTCAATATTTCCCCCGATTCTTGTCCAAAACCCTTGGTCTGTCTGTAAGACAGTATCCTCAGATATCAGGGGCTTCTAAAATAGTATACATAATTTAAGTATGGGCTACACAACATTTTTGCGACAGACTACTAGCGCCCCCTGTGGTAGGAGAGTGGTCCCTGTAGGACAGTAACGATACTCTCTCCAACAGCCCAGCTAGGTGAGGACATCTTTCTGTTCTGACAACAGTACAGTGCAGAGAAATAGAGAAATACTTGTGAATATCTAGTGAAAAAAACCCTCTCCTTGACCCTGGAAGTGGGTGAAGTAATGACAGGCTCAGGTTTTATGAATTCTGACGTTTACCTTTGGAAAAGGGAAATGTTTCTCCTATGTCAAACCTTATAGTTATGAGTCGGATATTGACAATAGTTATTTCGCTGCAAAATTTAAAAATGTCATATGTCATATGTGTGTTCATATTGCAAGAAGTGGACTAAAGCACGGTAAGTCAAGGCTTATGGTTTTATTAGAGTGAAATAGTGTCTCCAATCACTTGTGCCTAGAAATACTCCTAATACCTTACAACCGCGTGGGCTGCAGCCATGCACAAGAGTAATCCAAGTGACATGAAATTTCAAACACCGGAAGGAAGACTAATGTTCATATTCGTGGGCAATGGTTTGAGTTCTATTGTTGTGTAACTAGCAGGGTTACTTTTGGGAGATGGACAGTTGAACCCTACTGTCACAGGCCAAAGGGGGGGGGGGAGGGGGTGTTACTGATAATTTATACAAAAACTGACTCTCCAATCTGTCTAATAAGAGTAATAGGACAAGACAGGGTCTACATTTCCGTGCTATGGAATGCACCCACGTCTTTTGCGGAGGTGTCACAAACGTTACATTTGGGGCACCAACGTCGACATCAGCAGAGTATTTGAAATGAAGGTTGCTATATTCATGTACACGTAATGCTTGTCAAAGTCATTTGATACACAAAAGGAAACGACATTATGTTGTGTTTTTTTAGAGAAATATATGCACTATTTACGCGTCAGATTTGTCAAAACTGTCACGTTATGGAGCAGTCCTTTCTACGGTGTTTTATAGAAGAAATCCACAAATTCGTTGAACGTTTCCATTTAAACCATGGCTTTTTATTGTCGGTATTATTCCCTCTGAAGTCAGTTTGTTAGTGAGAATGATATTTAAATATGCAGTCCACCTAGCCTCCTATTCAAAACCTTTGCATACAGAACCATACGAATTTATTTGCAGGTTGATTCAGAATAGTTCATAGCATGAACTATTCTGAAAATGAAAATTATATCACCTATTTATGATGTAGTTTATTCACCATTCTTTATTTCATTCCAAACTAATAAAGTAGGCAAATAAATAAAATATGAATCATAGTTTTATTATACACACCGACAAACAGAATTTACGACTAAAGCCATTTAATGGACGTAGGAAATCGTCTCTAGTGCATCAACATTGAAAATTACACAACATCACAGCAGGCAGACACGAACGCCGTCGACGCCCTTAACGCTGCAGTGCTATTAGCCAGGCTACCAAGGCAGTAGAATCCAGTACTGTCGTGATTGAAGTGCGACACTGCACTGTTCGTCAGTTTATTGATCGTAGTTTATATACAACGAGAGACCCCGCAATATAAGCCAGCCAGCAGCAATGGAGGGCACTTCTGCTGTAAGGCATATATTGGTAATACGCTCTGTCCAAACCATCATGATGCTGCATATGCTTCATACTGTGTGGCAAAGGTCGTCCCTTGTTGACAAAGGCACAGTATGATGCGCTGTGTAGTAGTAAGACACAAAATGCCCCCCCCCCCCCTTTTAGGAGAAAGGCGCAAATTTCCCCCCTCCCTTTTTTCTGATATTTGAAGATATGATTCTGCGAAAGAACTGAGTTTAGGCTTTTAGTTCTGCTTTGGGGTCGGCTAGATGTCAAAACCGCTACAAGTGGTAAGACATTAAGGGTGGTCGCCTTAATGACTGGTAAAGCAATGGTCATTTTATGAAGAAAACCGTCGGTTTTGTAACCAAACGAAAGTCAGTTCTTGAAATCAGTTTAAATTGCCTAAAGTTGAATATTCCTGCACGTGCCAATGAAACAATGTCTTACATGGTTTCTTAGTCCAAGGATATTGAAACCATTGATTAACATCTCGGCAAAATACTTGGCCGTATAGCAAACCAATTTATGCTGGGTCGATTCTCTCTCAGGACGTAGGATTGGACTTGGGTTGTGGTGTGTTGATTTCTATGTGTGAAACGGACATTTTGTCCAATTTCGATTTGGACAAGAGCTTGTCAGATATTTGAAACGTGGCCATGATTATTACTTAAGACTAAAATCAGTTTCACGAGGCAAGACGCTAAAGAAACTCATTAAAACTGCAGCTGCTTAAAACTCCCATATATTTGTTACCAACATCAAGTCGACACTGCTTTATGACCCCCATTTCATCTAAACATCTTAAATTTTTTCGAGTCGTTCACGAATATGCATAAACATTGTGTTAATACACATGTCAATCACGTATCAAAGCAGTCAAAATATTATTATGCATCGTCAGTTTGATCATCAGAACTTATATACATAATGCTGCCCATTTGAAATAGTAGTAGGTGGTGAAATAAATTTAATGAAAACGTTGGTTAATTCTTTCCGTTCCGATAATCAGGCGACAAAGATGTTGAAATTCTAATCAGAATCCTTTATTACGGTCTATTGTTGAATGACAACGGAATTTTAATTGCAAATTTGATTATTTAATATAAGTAAAATTAGGGTCAAAACTTGGCAACCAAGGCAAAGACTGGCGATGATCTATTCTTAAAGGTCGTTTTAATTACCTTGAGATCTGTAATGCACATGTATCCCAGTTATTTAATAAAATGTATTTAATAAAATGCGTCCGCCTTACGCGTGTTAATAACCTGAAATTAGGTTCGTTTCTAAATAGTTTCACTAAAATACCGTTTGGTGCCAACAGAATTTAAAAAAGGAAACCAATAAAAATAGACAAAGTAGACACCGTAGTTGTAAGTACTGATATAGTGATAATTAAAGCATATAAAAACGACTACAGCCAAGCTGTCCACACAGAGAGCATTGTAAGTATGACTGTATCCAAAACGTTTAAATATTTGGCTGTGACTTTCTTACAGACTCATCAGTGGCGGATTTAGAAGGGGGGTCAGAAGGGTCCTGAGCCCCCCCCCCTTCGGTTTCTGAAATATATATATATATATATATCACAAATATTTCTCTCTTGAAATTAGAATTTAGACTAGCTAAATTATAGTTCTAAACCGTATCAAAGGGAACTCTTTGCTCTCTAAACACCAAAAAAAAAAAAAAAAAAAAGTTCGAGGCCTTGAGCAGGCCCCGAACCCCACACTATGGGGGCGATGGTCGGTTTCGCCTCCGAGGCCCGTCGTTCCGCACCCCCCCCCCACCCCCACCCTTCAAATAATCCTGGATCCGCCCCAGCTCATTCACAGCGTTTACGTCACAAAGTGGTATTATACAATGTGTCCAAGACATTTTAACATTTGACATTCACTTTCTTTCAACCTCAGTCGCGGTAACCAGTTGTGTAAAACCTTATGCAACATTTCCAGAAAGCGTTAACTGTATAAAGCTTAACTCACTTGCAACCTTATTCATGTATTTCGTGTGTCCTCCAATTAGTTTTTCCTTACTTGTAAAAACGTTCTAAAGTTTTCTTTCGTTTAACGTTACACGGTAGGGTTGGGGCGTATTCAGTGTTTAGGTTTTTTAATGGAATATGTCGCAGTTTTACGCATTGTCGTATCATATTGTTGTGCTTGTTATACATACATATTGCACTTTTGCTTGATCTAAGACATTGTTGTAATGTCCCTCCACCGAAAAAATTTTTTAATGAACTAAAACTTTTATACAATTCAACTTGCCCATTGTGTTCGGACAGAAGTAGAAGTAGTCACAACTTAAACATAACTTGCCTTTGAACTTCTTCATGATGCTGTGGACATGTTAACTGCCTGGCGTTCGTCTTTGTTTCAGAATCATTCACGAGGGCGGCTTCACACAGGAAGACAACAAGCAGTACAAGCCAGTGGTCTACAGCAATACGATACAGTCCCTCGTCGCCATTGTGAGGGCCATGGGAACACTGAATATTCCGTTTGGCGATAACGAGAGAGAGGTGAGTACGCTGCTGTTGTCACCTGCCGCGCAAACACAACGTTATTATAACGTTACCATAACGAGTTTTTTGTTACCATAACGTTACCATAAGTTTTTTTTTTTTGTTTTTTTTTTTTGGTTACCATAACTTTACCATAATGATTTTTGAGTTATATAAACGTCATGGTAACGTTACAATAACGTTCTGTGTTTGCCGGGTGTGTAATTGTATGATTGCAACTTTTACACATTCAAGATATGGGAAACAGACGTCACGCTGGTGGAAGGATACCGCCAGGGGGCAGTTAGTGACGGGGAGGACAAATGCGACCAATTTGTCACAATGTGTCCGTTCTTCGTAACACAGGGCACTAACATTCACAATCACATACTAGCGGATGTCATTTCAAATTCTATATGAACAGGAAAGTGGACAGAAAGTGCGGTCACTGTCTGATAAGAAAATAAGATTATAAGGATGAAAGGTCCGTAACATATTTTACACCCCGCCCTCCTAACTCGACCGCTTCTAATAAACTTCGATCAAGTAAATAAGGCCTCTCAAGGGATGTCTCATTTATGACCATACAATGAAGGATTTCTTTTCATGACCGTGACTCCCCCTTCATTTATTAACACAATGATTAAGAAAAAGTTTTCTCTCACTATAACTAAACCATTGGCGTGGTCCCGGTTAGGAATATGCCTTCCTGACGAGAGATAGGATATTGAAGCAAGAAGACGAGAATGTTGAAAACTCCCTACAGGTTAATACCCATATCTGCCTCCACTCTTCCCCCCTCTTTCGAATCAAATCAAGAATGTTTACATATTTCATGGTTGTGGGATTCCCACAGATGAAACTTTCATACTTTTTGCATCTTCATGGATTGTACACACTCGAACGTGTCTGGACATTGGGGAGCAGTGAAACTTGAACAGGGGTTTTATGAGTGCAAGCCGGGATTGAGAGAAAATTCAACCACCTACGTCGATTCCGAAAGAAGCTGGTTTGTGATTTGTGTCTTTGTGCTTTTGGAGTCAATGTTTTCCTCGTATGTTTTTGCCAGGCACATGAAACCTATTATATGAGGTTTTGTGATGGTATACAGTTAAAGCTATTTGGAGTGATTTGATCACGATTATGTATTAACAAGGTGAACTGTGGGCAACACCTGGTCAAAAGGTTGCCATCTTTGATCTGATTTGGCTTTTACCACTTTTGGTACAAAAGGCTTTGGAAATATTCGGAACAATTCCACGTCTCATACCCAGTGAGCCGATGTTCCACGTAAACAACCACTGTACATTCCACGTAAACAACCACTGTACATAAAATAACTTCGATTAAGAGACGAACTGGACTTGATTAAGAGATATAAACACGTCAAACAAGGAGTTAGGTTTGCCAACTGTACCTAAATATAGACCTATAGGTTCTGCAAGCTGTTCCTTGATGATTTGACACCGGAAATGGACAGGCCCCTGTACACATAGAACAAGAATATTTTACAGCAAATTTGAAACGTTGGGGTTAAAAAACATTCAATCCCCTTACGTTTTGTTATATATTTTATTCGAAGCAGAATTTAAGTGCATAGTACGCTTAATTAGAAAAAATGAAACACAGATGCCAGTGAGAGGGAAATCAATCAGATACATGTGCTACTAATTATAGCGATACTAGCAAAATACAAATTGAAACCACAAACAAATAGTCGTACAAAATTTGAACAAAATTGCGTTAACAATACGCAGTAATCCTTGCACTAATATAAAGTGATGATCCAGAGAAGGCATTCGGTGGCTTAAAGGTATATATATATGAAAAGAAAACCGTGTCCAGTTTATTGTCATGTCAAATTATCGTCCTAATATGTCGCTCTTTAAAAAGAAAGTACAGAAGTATAGCTACCCCACGGATGAATTGGGTATTAACAAGTAAGAGAGAGGTAGAGCAGTGCGTTTGTGGGTGTGTGCGTGAGAGAGGGAGAGATGTCTTAAACCCCGTGGAAAAATTGATAATATTCGTGATAAGATACAATATGTTTACCTTAAAGGTGCTATTTAATTTCACATTTATTCTTCTAAAATGACTATTATTGGAACACAATTTCATGCACGAGTCAGCAGTTCATGGATAAGAATAAGACAGTAAACAATATCATAATCTGAAACGTGCACCAAAACACTGCAGCAAAACGGGGATAGAGTAGACTGCAAAAAAACAGGGACGCCAGTACTCCGCCACCCTCGAACCCCTTGGGTAATAACGAGCGTTCCATTTCCTCTTTTGAACGCATGTGTTGAACCCCAGCGTTTATTATCTACGTAAAATGTCAACCTTACCGTGTCCTTGGTGTCCTAGTCATGTCCTTGTAAACAAACAATAGAGGAATGACGCGTTTGTTAATGTTATTAGTTCCACCCGTCTTGTTAATGGTGTTAGTGCGCTCTCGCCAGGCTGTTAGTGTATTGTACGCGGCGTGCGTGGCTTAGTACTCCGTGCAAAAAAGGGTCAATTTCTGAACGTGATAGGTTGTCTTGATGCACAGACAGTACAATGACGTCAGCAGACGCGTATATAGGTATGTGTTTATGTTCACTTTTTGATTATTTAGCTTTTGATGTCCGAGCATCGGTAAGATATTAAGAAGATTGCAATGAGAAGAGGAGGTATTTCTGTTCCCCCCTTTCTCTCTCTCTCTCTCCCTCATCGCTTACTTTTTCTTTCCATCCCTCTGTTCCCCATTTACTCCTCTGCCTTTACCTTCTGGCTTTTGCATTCACAATGTTTCCAAATTATGTTCTCAACGTTCCGACATTTTCAGTTGACACCAAGGTAATAGTTAAGTACATTTATTAATTGCCACCAACATCAGATTTCTCTATTCCCAGACTCAGCCCCCCTCTCCCCCATCTCTTCTCTTTCTCTCTCCTTCCATATCTCTCTCTACCATCTGGAAAACATCCCCCAAGATGTTCCCAAATGATGTCCCCAAACATCCGAACATTTTAGGCTCCAGCCATAGCCTTTCAGCGCATCTGTTAATTGCTAGAGCCACCTTGCCTTTTATGGGACTTTGCTATACAAAGAGCTTGGAGGATGACTCACACCAAGGTCGCACGGTTCCTGCATCATTTATAACCATGCTGATGCCACGACATAAACTGTGTTCAGAACAGCGTACAGTTGCCCTTATAACGGTTCCGTGCCGCTATTATATGTTATATGTGTTATATATGTTATATACTATGTGTTTACCGCCTAGCAGAGATTTCGTCGCTAAACTGTCATATTTAAGGAGTATGTAATAAAGGTATGCGATACTTTTTCCTGTTTATCTGTGAAAGGGTTAAGAAAGTTCCCGGGTTCTGGCATGAAATAATCAAAACAGGGATTGTGGAGAGAGGAGGGTGGGGAGGGTTTTGGTTTTCCATTATTCTATTCCACCGTCTGGTTTTACTGAATGTGAATTAACTTATATAGGATCTTAGTCGTACTGATGTGCGTTATCATTTATAGATATAGATCTACCTAAAAAGAGGGAAACGCTAAATTATATCAGCAGTATATTGCAAAAAGATCATATAATAAAATATGCAATGTACATGATTTTATATGTTTTCCGCCTAGCCACTTTGCCATGTGTGTGTGTATATATATGTGTGTGGGTTCGTTAAATGCATTATCATATATAGATTCAACTTTTCTTAATATGCGGGATATGTCGAGTTATAATTAGCGTGGAGCCAAATCATCTAACACCTGGTTTTATAACACACGTGTGACCTACTAAATGATGTAGACATAGAAATACGTATTGCTTGATCACTATATACTATACTTTTAATTTCATTTTGCTTTAACATTTAAATAATGCTGATAATTTCATTTGGGCGTGCAGGGTTTGGGATTACATGCCGGCATTTTTAGATTTTATTTGGTTATATGAGGACGAATTCGACTTATGTCTTATGGTGCAGCAGGGGTCCCTTAATGAGCAGCTATTTTCTCACTTTATCAGGCAGTTTAGAAATTCGATATCAGTATTTTTTGCATATCATGGAGTGGAAAACGTCAAAATTGCTTGTCCTTTTATGTACAAAATTTAGTAAGACGAAAGGGTTCATGGTAATTGAGGCTAGGTGACTTTAAATGGTACCACATCATTTAAATAAAGGCGTATTGGTGCCATTTTGGCATTGGGCTATGTATACGCATTATAAGGGTGCAGCCGTAGTCCTACCATAGGCTTGTATACCAAGATGACACGGGGTTTGAACCGTCTTTCTGGAACTGAAGCGTTGGTGTTCTGTAATGTTTCGCACTGGCTTATGTGCGACGAGGGAGCTTAAGCTACAGACACTGTAATGAAGAGAGGATTTGTTCCTAGGACAAAGAAAAACAGACCAGAGAATTTAAGTATCATCATTACGTTACCCAGATCAAACTAGAAACGATACCTTTTGCACTAAAAGCAGTGACACAGTGGCAGGCCTAAGGTTTTGCTTGGAGGGGGGGTCGAATTGGGGTTTGTGGGGGGCAAGGAAGTTGAATATTATACCAAGTACTGCACGGCAAATATTAAATCGTAGACGAGGATAATTGTACTGTAACATTAGTACAGGGATGGTGAAGTGCTAGTTAGTCATTATCATTAAATTTATTTTATTTTTTTTTTTTGGGGGGGGGGGGCAGGGCGACAAGTCTTCTATTGGTCTTCTGTTGACTGTGTTAGCTGTCGCCGACGTCTATCTGGCAGCCACTGCTGGCAGAAGCTGATGGGAAACGCCCACCCGCACTGGCGTACACTGCTAACGAACTGGAAATTGATTTTCTTTGGTTTGGCAGAACTACAGCGTTCCACCTTCCTCTTTGTCTCTTAGTAATCATGTATGTCGTTCTGGTTCTTTCTACTGTTATATAAACGACGTTATAGAGGGCATTACTTAACACAGCCAAGTATACGTAGGCGTTTCGTGCCACCACTTATTTTTGTAACTATTTATTTACAC